TTATATTGTTCATTCTCTTCTAACGGGCTAATATTCTCTTGGAATAAAAGTGACTCGACTTGCTATTAATAAAAATTGAAAAGCAAATATTAATTATTTGTTAATATTGTATAATTTAATTGAGAAGACTCTAAGCAAGATTTTGCAATAAGATATATGACTCTAGATATATTGAAAAATCCTCGGGCGATCCCGTCGTCAAAGCCAATGTAAGATATATATCAAGATATAAGTATCACAAACACGTCACTTTGACTCAGAGATCTACCCGTCGCGAAATGCCTTCTTGTACATGGTCTCTAATATCACATATGTCTAGAACGTTACGTTCTAGCTCAATCTATGTATATCAAAATGCGCTACTTAATTTTTATATCTGCCTTCGAGTAACGTGGTAGTATGTATTTCATATAATTCATCACAGTTTCATTAGGAAAATATACAAACAAGCATTATATATTGGTCAGTGATGCTTCTTGAATATTCATATTTGTATTAAAGATATAAATGAAGACAAATATATCTTCGATACAAATAAAAATATTCATGAAGCATCACTGACCGATATGCAATACTTGCTTGTACATTTTACTAATACTGCATTTAAATGATAAATAAATTTACTTTATATTAATTTTCTTATTTCGTTACAAATGACGGTGAAACTTTTGAGAATAATAAAGAACACACTAACGGGTGAAATCAAAAGTGATTAATATGCTAACAATTATAAAAATTGACTCTACTACCAGAGGTGTCCAAATGCCACCCACGAACTACAAGCAATTACAAGCCTCCCCTCGTGGGTTTCCCCGACTACCGACCTCAGATTGACTCGAGCGAGTCAACCTGTGTGTGGGGGTATAGTCCCGTAGTGGGGGTACCTTCGGAAGGGAAGAATGCTGCTCGCAAGTGGTATATAGACACATCTGGCCCTGTCCTTTTTAAGGGACAGACTTTACAAATACTCGTTTCTTCTGAGTACATACATGTATGACTACCATACCGATATGTTTAAGGAACATTGTATTCATGCTGGCCAAACACAGTAGTACCTTCCCTGCATTTAACGCTCACACTCGATTAAAGTGGTCGTGAGTACACGCCAGCACGTTTCGATATACATATTACTACCCGTGTGTACGTAAAATTGGATACAATTCTTTGCTATTGACATCAAAACGACCGGCCACGACAATAATTTAACACGTGTGCACCCATGTTAAATTATTCCATAACAAATGGTTTTTCACGAGGGTGTGCATACCGATGCACAGACGACGCAATTCAACACGTCTGATTCTTCGTTTTATGGACCGATAATTTATAGGAATTTGCAAATACGAATGAAACCTGAAACACTGGTTTCAATTTTTGAAACGTGCTGCCGAGTCTCGTGGTGTTGCGTTAATTGCTGTATGTAACATGCACATCTAAAAAGGCACCACAATGTTTTCCCCTCTACTTTAAACATATCGGCATGGTTTCTGTTCTTTCGATTCTATATTCCTCGATATATATTTCATACATTAATGTGTTTCGGTATTATTTTTCAATCAATTGACCGTACTTGTAAACAACACTACAATAATTTTTATGTAATCGTCTTGATCGATGAAGACATTAATAGAATAATTTTAGTGTAATTGTTTCGATATGACAAACTGAATAATATAGTACCACGTTCTCGATTAATAGAAAAATATCAATTGTTGTAAACAATAGGACTTCTGGTCCCAAAATATCAAAGATCAATATTAATCAATAATTTCACGTTAAGTTAATATTCGTTTATAAATATACTTTCAATGAAAAATATTTCTGAATTATATTATTAATAATAAACGCGGCGTACAAGAAGACCCTAGCCTATCTAAGAAACATAACAGATCGATGTCACTACTCGCGGATATGATTGCATATCCGCGTTCACTGTACTCGCAATATTAAGCACGTATACAACCAGTCACCCGTGTCGCTTTGGACCAATCGTCCTACGACATGATTGGGGACTGGAGGAATAAAAGCATGCGACTCACCCGATGACAGAAGGGCTCCGTCTAAGACTCTAGGAATCTGGAAAAAAAAAGAAACAAAATGCGTTACAATCTCTTCTCAACATTTTACTTATTTCGATTGAATAATGTAAGTAAGAATATTTAAAGATACTTACAGTCTTGGCGGGTGGAGCTTCGCCCGAGGACATCCTCTGCAATGCTCGTTGATACAGCGCCTGATGAATCTGATAAAAAAGGAACAGAAATCGTTACAACCTCCTCTCAAAATTCTAGCTGTTTCAATTGAATAGTGTAATTAATAAAATACAAAGATACTTACATCCTCTGTAAACAGAGCTGCGCAAAAATATTTTCTTCGGTGATGCACTGACTCTACTTTTGCGACTCAAAAAGCAAAAAGTGTCCGGACACTCTGACAGTAATTGATAACACGCAATAAATATTGACTCTAATTTCGCGAAAACCTAACATCTCCGGTGAGATTCTACACGGAGCCAGTTCGCTCCGCATAAACTTTTAAAAATCTTGTACGATATAAACACTGACTCTATTCGACCGCATTGCGCGCGGCCACAAAATTCTCTGAAAGAAAAGTACATGGGAAATACAAGGCACACTTGTGCCTGCCTACTTTTTTAGTTTCTGTATCCTACCAAGTGTTTGTCGAGAAAATATTGCCTTTCAATAATTCACATCAGTTCAAACATTATTAAATATTACAGAATAATTATTCAATTCAATATAAATATGTCAAATTTGTTAGACATATATATTTAATATTTATGTATTATATTAAAGACATTTGTTGTTAGAGCTGTAAGCACGTTAATTTTCTCTATCTAAATCACGTCCCGAATTTTGTAAATGTTTAGAAAATCATTTCAAGTATCAAAGTTTCGTTATTTACCCGTGCTTTGGCGAGCACGATGAATTACGCGGTATCTATATAATCAAACTTACAACCGAAACCGTATGCAAATGCAAACACGATGGTTCCATAAAGATAGACAGGTGAAATAATTAATATTAAAACAATTTCGCGTCCGTGACACAGGAAATTACGAATATTTCGAATTTAAATGTTTAAAAGTAATATTCAAATTTTGTAATGGCCACGGTGGCCATTTCGAATTCTTCAATTGCGTAGTTTAATTCACTGTATATACTTCCCGGAAGAATTCTCGTTCGATCTTTGCACAATAAATAAAAAAATCGCGATCATGCTTACGGCGAGACATAATAGAAACACGATAAAATAAAAATATATAGTAGACGATCACCTATTTGTTACACATATTACCGTGTTTTACCAATTTTCCGGAGTGTTGCTACTGCCATGGTGTCAGGGGACACGTCCTTTCCAACCGGTGCTCTGAAACAGAGAATAAACGCGTTTAAACCAAGCAATTACATTAAATTACAATTTCGTTACAAATAAATAACTATTGTACTCGAGGTGTGCCGTAAAAGATTGTAAATGGAATCAGAAATGTGTAAATACTACAGCGTAAATAAAGAAAATCGTGAAAACCGATCACTTTCTCCCGTAATATCGAATTAATTTACGATAATTTACTCGAAATTGAATAAATATCAAACGAAAGTAACGATAAAGAAATAACGAAGGCACTAATAGTTGGTATAAATGATTAGATGTGAAAAGTAATGATCACGTACACTTCGATGGGAGCGAATTCACTTCACGTCTTGTCACTTCAACTTGTGCGAGACGAATGACCCTTAGGCCGTCTTTGACTCCCCGCCCCACTTCAATTTCTAGTTTAACGAAATAGAATATTCAGTACCATAGAACACGCCGGTGCGACCTTTTTTTTTGCTTATACCTTCGGTTAGCTCAACGAGCACTGACCGACCTCAGACGGAATAATAGACGCACAAGGACGATTTCTCAGAAATTTCGTTTCGCAGTACTCCGATGGTTATAAACAACGTCAGAGCCATATGTTTCGTGCCTTTGTTTGACCACTTTTCGAAAACTTACATTCCAATGTACGCTACGACTAATGAATGAATTCAACCGCGTACATATCCCAGGCTATCTCCGAAAATTTGTTATTTCAATTCGTTTTGGATGGAAAGCATTGATGTACAATGCCCAGTGGTATTTTTATTGCCTCTTTGTCAAAGTTTCGAATACGATGTTTTTCTGAACACCATCTGTGATAAATACGTCTCGTCAATTATTCAACAATTACGCCGAAGTTTATGAAATACAATCAAATAGATATTACCAACTAAATAATAGATAAAGAAAATGCAAACCTGGCAATATTGTGGAAGTTTGGTTAACTGAGCTCTAGTTGGGTTGAAGTTCTTTATACAATTTCTCGCAATAAATAAAATTATTGTAAATAAATGATGTTACGATTTTAAGATAATAATGACGTAATATTTAAGAATTTCAGCCAACTCAAACAAATGAAACTTAGAAAATTGTCAAAGTTCAAAATGCTAGACATTCTTACAAAACTTTCAATCTCATATCGTTTCTCAGAATAATCCAAGTTCGATGTAACACTGAACGTGGTTTTATGAGATACATTTAAAGTTCGCAGCCATTAGCTCGATATTATCTTCGGTGTATATGTTATGTCGCAAGATTTGCTACGAATTTGCTTTACCCGCGAATTTACGTTTAATTAATACATATCTTATTTCCTAATGAAACAGTAGAAAAACAAAGGCCATGGTGCTGTCATCTCGTGGCTGGAATACGGTACCAATTGACTGGTAGCTTGACCGTTTTGTCGTAGATAGCGCTACGTTTTTGACCAAATTTATCAATTAAATGTCAATCGATTGAGTATTTACCAATCGATACGTATCAATTCCCATCGTTTTCTCTCTATTTCTGGCAATTCCTGTAATACGCCATCAAATGTTACCGCCTAAATAAAACCGTTGTCGCATATGTCTTTCGGCCTATTAAAGTATTAGATGGTATTAGAGGTAATGTGGTCACGGTCCATGTTGGTTCGATTTAAACGAGTGTCATCGAGTCGTTTGTTGTGTGCCTGTCTTCTTCCGTTGTTTTTAAATTAAAGTCAGCGGCACTTTGAAATGAAACTTTCGAGATTTTGTTTAATGCTATTTGTCGCATGTTACTTGTCCCTCGGTACGTTCGATAGATATTTCAATTTTTTTTTTTTTTTTGGAGCGTGTTTACTTATTTGTAAACGTTTTTAGGCCACGCCCTGGAGTGCTATGTTTGTACCAAGCAGGACGGGAACAGGGAAAAGTGTCTAAAGAGTACAAAAACCTGCGAGCAAGGACAAGATGCTTGCCTCACTGAAATTAAATGGGGAAGTAAGTTTCAAGTACTGAACAATGGAAATGTGTTACCGAGGTTATGTTTACATCGAGCAACGATCACTGCGTCAACGGGAAATCGTGTATCTCTGTTTTCGTAGTCTCTTGTCATTATCGTTCTTTCTAGGTACACCGTATTGGTCGCAAGGTGCGAAGAAGCAGTCCTACGTCTCGAAGAGGTGTGCCTCGAAAAAAGAATGCGAACGAATAAAACAATCGAACATGCCTGACTGCACATACATATGGTATCAGGATTGGCAATGCTCGGATTGCTGTCAAGGAGATAAATGCAACTATTACATAATCGTGAGTGAAAATTTCAATCGATTATAATAATATCTCGAGTGAAAAAACAGTCCATTATTACACACGATTTTCCCCGCTTTACGTGTTTTCAGTCTGGTGTCGAACGATTGCACGCGTCCTGGGTAATGGTCGCTGCTATCGGAACCTCCTTATACGTCACAGCATTGTTTAGGTGTTAAGAACACTCGAACGATACGTGTTTTGCGTATCGTTACGATAATTTAGAACTTAAAAAATGACAACAAGATGGCCTTGGACCCGACGTAGAGTGTCCTATTATACCACGCCGTGGTCGAAGAGCTCGCGATATCCGTCCAATAGAAATGTTTTATGCTCTTTAATTGCAGCCGTTGTAACTGTCCATAACTACATGTAATGCATCGTTTATAAATTTTTTAAATAAACGTTTTGTTGATTCTTTTCTTCCATAAATCGTCCCCGTATTGTTTACGCACTGTCACAATTGTTCACGTTCTCGGAAGTGTTTATTATTCAACGACTGATTAATCTAGCGTTTCGATTAAACATAAAGATCAAATTCGCTTCAACATTTGAACGATACCAATGCAGTTATCGCGTTGCAAACCGCGAATAAGCACTCGAAACTGCGGCCACGTACCTACCTATCTTCGTTTATGACCGATTATGTAGCATTATTTTCTCTTAGAGGATAATCGATATCTGCGCAGATAAGAAGAATAAAGAGTGGCTGTTATTTAGAAAAATATTGTTAGGGATGAGTTCGTATCGTTCGTTGTACTCGTCGGTGTCGATCGGAATCGGCACTACACGGAGTGAAGTCATCGTGCACGGATATCGTCCAAGTAAGTAGAAATTTGTCTTCCTTTTGGAAACTTCCTAACGCGATATGGTAACTTATATAATAATCTGCGTCATAAGAGTCAATTTTCGTGAAACAAAAGTACCGATTCTCGCTTCCGTTCTCCATTTACGAACGACAATTGAAATAGGGATCCGAGGAATTGCAATTCTTCCGTACGCTCAACAATAATATGTACACACTTATACAACAATTCGAATAATCGAATAGTTTAAACCAAACACTCTGACCGACGTAGATACAGAGATTCGAAAAACATGTTGTTCGATTCGCGCCTATTCGTGGAAGACCGAATGATCGTTGGGGACCGTCGGTATCTAAGTTTATCGTGAAAATCAACATAAAATATACCAGAGCGATACGGATCGCATCAGTTTAGAAGAATATTACAAGCGGATGACCGATACAGGCGAGACTGGGCGGTTCTAATCTAGCCACGGAGCGAAGAAACAATTCAACCGACCAATTGAACGGATTCAGATTGCTCGCACTCGACGGCCGATCTTTCAACTTGATTTAAAGACATTTTAATTAGCGTTCAGTCGTGATTCGAACAATCGGTAAGTGGAGGCCTTCGGACCATGATGGATACGTGGTCGTCTACCCTTTACATGGTATTACATATAAAAACATGAAGCCAACTGCACTGTGGCACAAGTGGGGGAAATCTTCGATTTTCGAAAAAGATCACAATGCTTTCGCTATTAGTGTCGGCCCCGTTCGCTTTTTCACGCGTTTCTTCGTTTCTTTCAGCTGCACAGCATGAAAAGCTGGAAGGTTGGAAATCTTTACAAGACTTTCAGTCGGAAGAAGGAACTGACTCCCGGGCATGAAACGAAACTCGCACGATGTCTGTCAACGTTGGATCTGACAGCCCTTGGAATCGGTTCGACCCTCGGAGTAGGTGTCTACGTTCTGGCGGGATCGGTTTCGAAGGGGATCGCTGGTCCAGCTGTGGTGATATCGTTTGCTATTGCCGCGATTGCGTCCATGTTCGCTGGTACGAGTCAAGAACGTTCTTATGTTTTCTAAGAGAATGTAATCTAGTGGAAGCACGTGGTCGCTTCGAAGCTCTGTTCTGTTCACCGATCCGATAAAAACAGACTTGTTATCTAGGTCTATGCTACGCGGAATTTCCTGATCGGTTGGACGCTAATCCTGGAGTACGTGATCGGCTCGGCGAGCGTGGTGCGAGGCCTGAGCACATACGTCGACGCTTTGTTCAACAACACGATGCGTAACGCGTTCGAGTCAGCTGCGCATATCGACATCAATCATCTCTCTTCTTATCCGGACTTCTTTGCGTTCGGTGTCACTCTAATCTTCTCCGGTAAGAAAGTAACCGAACACTGCTATCGATGGAAATCTCGAAACAATATTCCTCTTCTTGGAATTGGGATCATGAAACCGTTGAATGTACCGTTCCCGCCAACTCCTCGACGTCTGTTTTGTCGTCCTTATCCTGTAATACCCGTTGAATTTCCTTTCGGTCTGCACAGCCGCGCTGGCCTTCGGGGCGAAGGAATCCTCCGTGGCGAACAACTTCTTCACCCTGGCGAACCTCTTGGTGGTTCTTTTCGTGATAATCGCTGGATCCTTTAAAGGTAAATTATCGTTCCATTAGAATCATCGTCTCGAACAGAAATTATACGGACTTTACGGATTTCTATTACCGTGTACAATCGATCGACGTTATATCGTGTCGATGTTCTGTTCGAAGCTGACGTAACGAATTGGAAAACGAAGCCCACGTGCACGGAGGAAAATTGCGATTACGGAACCGGAGGATTCGCCCCGTATGGTATCGCTGGAATCATAACGGGTGCCGCGACGTGCTTCTACGGATTCATCGGTTTCGATTGCGTCGCAACTACCGGGGAGGAAGCGAAGGATCCACAGCGATCCATTCCGATAGCGATCGTTGCATCTTTGACCGTCGTTTTCTTGGCGTATTTCGGCGTCTCGACGGTCCTCACCACTGTTCTTCCGTATTACGAGCAAAATCCGGATGCACCATTCCCGTACCTGTTCGAAAGAATCGGTTGGGGTTGGGCGAAATGGCTGGTCACGATAGGCGCTATCTGCGGTCTGTGCGCCAGGTAAGGTCAAGAATGCGCAACGAAAGAAGAACCATCATCGATAACATATTACACGATGGTTTCTGAAATGTTACAGCTTGCTAGGCGCAATGTTCCCATTGCCGCGTGTCATTTATGCGATGGCCTCCGACGGCTTGATCTTCGAATGGATGGGAAGAATCAGCTCCAGATTCCATACGCCACTAATGGGTACCTTCTCCGCAGGACTTCTTACAGGTTCGGTTGAAATACCAACAACCCAGCCAAACCTTGCAAAGCAAAATTTTGTCCAATGCCTCTTAGAAAGTTATGGCTACAAGTTTGATGCAAGATTTCCTATAAACAACTTGCGATCCACATTGGCAGCAAATTGGCTTGCGCAAACTTTTTTTGCCTCCAATTTAACATAGGTTATGTTTGCAAGACCTTCCCCAAAAGACCAAACCCCAAGTAAAATGCGGAAACAGATGGTTTTTTTAGTCACTGTCAATTTCCTCGAATGCTTGTAGGCAACTGGTTATCAGGGAATAAGCCCCACGCGTATCTTTGCAGGTGTACTGGCTGCGATATTCGAACTGACGCAACTGGTCAACATGATGAGTATCGGAACGTTGCTTGCTTACTCGATCGTTGCGACTTGCGTGCTGATATTACGGTAAATGGTGGTAACTTGGGTAACTTAACGTCACATTCCTGTCGTTCCTCTTATCGTTTCAGGTACGAGGAGAGCGAAGCGTACGAGAAAAAGGGAGACCACGATCCAAGGACTGTAACGTTCATCGCTAGACAGTTAATCAATGTTAACAAATTAAAGCATTCGACCAAATTAACGTCGCAAATCGTCACGGGCCTCATCGTTTGCTACCGTAAAAATAATCTTGAGATTCTTTTCCCTTCCAGTGTGATTACCTTGCGTAAAACTTTGTGTATTATTGCAGTGATCCTCTGCGTGTGCATCGGCGTCATAGGTTCGTTGTACGTCGGCGATATCTTGACCGGAAAACTCACGGTTGTCCTGCCCCTAGTGGCTCTGATACTTGTTTTGTTACTCGTCCTCACTTGTATTTACCTTCAGCCGACTTCTGGAAAGAAACTCGCGTTTTCGGTATGAAGACAGTTTCCATTTCGCCAATCTTTTCACTCTTGTTAGGTAAAAAGCATTGAAAACGCTCTGCTGTATTTCTAGGTTCCGCTGGTGCCGTTTCTACCTGCGCTCAGTATTCTAATTAATATTTACCTTATGATGATGCTAGACAAAATGACATGGGTGCGATTTTTGGTGTGGATGGTAATAGGTAAGTGAACGACGAACGCGTCTAAGTGTGGTCTCGTAAGAGTTGGTGAACCGCAAATGCATATCTTCTCTTCTGTCGCAGGGCTCGGAATCTACTTCTTTTATGGCGTTTGGCACAGTAAGATGAGACAGAAAGAATGCCCGAAAGCAATGGATAACGGTATCAACGATGCAGAAACGTGGAGGAGAACCGAAAACTTTTCCAGATCAACGTGACATATCGTTTATATTTCCCTGTTATTTTACGTTCACAAACAAATTTAGAAACTGATCTAAATAATAAATCGTTCGGTCGAATGAACCATTCACCGTAACGCACTTTTATAGTAAAACGAAAAGAAAAACAATGATATCGAGAAATCTAAGTCTGACATATAATACAATTTTCTTAGCAAAACGAAACCAAAGAGACTTTACCTTACAGAGCAAACAAAGATTTGAGATCATTCAAAGTAAGTTTCGAGACGGCCGTGTTCTTGTCGCCGCTGAGAACGTTCTGTGCTATTTCCATCTTTTTCTCTTGTAAATGTTTGATGCGCTCCTCTATCGTGTCCTCGCAAATGAACCTGAAAATCGTTTTTTCGTATAGCACATACTTTTCTATTTTTTGTGAATTTCGTTATTACAGAAAACAATGCCAAACATTAACTTGTATATAAAAACGTTCTTCTTCTGTCCGAAGCGATAAATCCTGTCTTGTGCCTGCACCTCCAGTTGCGGATTCCAATGGATATCCAAGAGAAGCAAATGATTTCCGCCGACTAAATTCAATCCAACGCCTCCGGCGGTGAGGGACAATAATAGTATTCTCGGATCAGTGTGCCGAGAGTTAAACGCATCCATTACGCCCTATAATGTCGTATATCGCGATCAAATTGCAGAATATCGTTAACCATTACGAGCAGAGGTTCGACAAACGAAAATACCTGTCTGTCCTTGATCGCCACGTTGCCCGTGAACATCTTGAACGTAGCACCCTTTATCGTAGGTAAAAAGGACGCCACAATATTCAGCATACTCGTCCATTGAGAAACGATTATTAATTTATCGTCTTTCAATAAAATCTCCTCGACCTTGCGAAGCATCATTTTAATCTATGTTCAAAAGAAACGTTTCATCGTTGATCGAAAGGAAAATTGTCAAAAGAACTCGTGGGAAACATTCATTTCATAATTTCCATCGCACACGATAACGATTACTCACCTTAGAACTTATACGGTCCGCCTGGAACACCGTATTCTTCGATGTGAGCACATTCGTAGCTACCCTACTGTCAACACCTATCTCTTGTTCGACCCCTTTGTTACCTTCCAAATCGTACAATTTTATGTTAGTCATTTGCGACAATAAGTTAGGATCCATATTTTCCGTTTCCGTTAAGCCGGTCGCTTCGATATCTTCTTGGTCCAACATCGAGTGAATGAGCGACGGATGAACGCAAATTTGTCGTAATCTTAGCAACAGGACCAAAATCTCGTGGGTTTTAACGTCAGCGTGCATCGATAATAATTTATTTTGCGCTTTTGTAAATTGAGTATTCTTGTCTGGAAAAAAAGAAGAAACAAACCACGACAATTTAAAACGATTCGACAGGCTGTACGTGTAATATTTCGCGTCCTGCTGACATACGTACTCGGATTTGAAAGAAATGTTGGTGTATCGTATTTTCCTCCGGCTAAATCGAACATATGATGTTTCTCGGCACCTTGCGCCAAAAACTGTGCGAACAACGTACGAGAATAAATCAAAACTTTTTCATAGACCAATTTCTCTTGCGCATCGAGCTTCACGGTCACCTCCTCTATGAATTTTTCCGGTAAACTTTCCAGGCAGCCTTTAGCTTGAAGCTCTTGTTTCGTTCGACGAAGCATCAGGGTCTTCATTACGGTTGCCAGCCTCTGGCGACCGGCAGCATTCTTATTATCTACCCACCGCTTCCATACACGGATATCGTCGAACGGCGAACATTTAAGAAACTTCAAAATTGAGTATAAATCCAATTCCTTGTTCTGAATGGGAGTACCAGTGAGAGCCCATCGTTTACTCGACAACAACCCACAGACAGCTTCGGATGCTTGACTTTTATGATTTCGAACGATGTGCGCTTCGTCCAATATTACACGCTCCCAATGAATCCTGTACACCGTCGATCTCGTCTTAAATTCACGGGACAATATATTGTACGTTGTAATAACCACGTCGTTTTTCGCTAATCTTTTTGGCACACTCTCACGATTGGAACCATGATAAACTTCGACCGAAAGCATGCCCCGTTTGCATCTGTTCGTTATCTCATTTTCCCATTGCGACAGTAAAGATGCTGGACAAACTACCAGCGTGCCTCCTTTGTGTCGCAACGGTGACTTATGGTCGGACCATTCGTCGTCGCTTCCCTCGTTCGTATCACCGTGTTTCTTTTTAGCGATGCTAGCGATGATCAACGATATCATTGTCAGAGTTTTACCCAAACCCATATCGTCGGCCAGAACGCCACCAGGAGGTCTTTGTTCTTCTCTCCATATCAACCACGCTAATGCGTGCTGTTGATGCGGCATTAACTTTACTTTCAACCCTCGCGGATCTTCGGCTCTCTCGTCTTCGGACGGTCTAGCGACCAGGGATCCATGGAGATCTTGTAATCTATCGACCGTCAATGCTAATTCTTTACTCAACGTCGCCTGAGCCTTTTTACCGAGTTCCTTAACTTCCAACGACGATGTAGGCTCCATTGGAATGTAATCTACGTCGTGATGAGAATCAAATTCCTCCCATTGTGTATCTTTCTGAGGTTTAAATTCTTCTTTGACAAAAGACACGTCTTGGGTGAACGAGTGTGACCGTCTCTGATCATTTTGCACGAGCGGAGTGTTTTCCAATTCATTCGCAACTTCTTCGATTTCCCTTTCCTGCATTACGATACTCTCGCGCAATTTTTTGCCTTTGTCCGGTAGCAAGTCTATGTTACCAGTCGTAAGCAACAGCTAAAAATCAAATATACAAACTCCAACAATGAGTTCAACCTTTTTGTCTTTCTTGTAAAACCATACGTTTACCTTTGTTTTGCTTAGTTGACCCTGTAACTGTTCCATTTTGCAAACGAGCAGAGCTCTTTTTTGCGCGACCAGTGGATCTATGTTACCAACGCCAATTTCTTTTTTCGCCAGCGATACCGCAACTTCGGCTTCCAAACTATCTTCATCATCCACAGTAATAACTAAAAAAGAAAGGAACACAGTTTCAATTTTACAAAGTGGGCTCATACAAAATTCTAACACAAATGTATTAGCATTGACGCTCGACTAACTGGTTGACACAGTATGTTGCCTTTCTGTTCTCTTTTTGGGTAAATGCATGCTGGAATCACTGAAATTCTCTTGCATTGTGTTGTCATCGTTGGACCCATTTTCATACGAGCTACCAGAAATATCAGATTGAAAGACACTGGAGGTTTTCTTTTTAACATTCTTAAATTTGTGTTGCAGCTTTGTTTCTTTATCGTCTATTGTGTCATCCTCTTCCATCTCATCTAGCAAAATAACATACTTATAGTGAAGTTCCAATATTGCTGTGCTCTATCAAACTGCAACATCATACAAAGAGCTTGGAGAAAAAACATGATAAGTCCATTTTCGTTGAGTTTCTGATTTTGTTTAAAATTACTTCCCTATGAAACACGAGAAATGTAACTTATCATGTTGTTCCCCTATGGTCTTCATATGAAAGTGTATGCCTCTGTGCCAACTTCTTTGTTACCACTGGAATAAGTAAGGTCGATCTTGTCCGTCTCACTGTCAGAATCATGATGCATAAAGTTTTTACGGTCGCGTTTATTCACATTTCTTGTTGCAGAGGAAGATTTGTTAGACGAAACCAAACTGAAAGATACAACGTATTACAGTCACGGAAATTAAAATTCAACGAGCGCAGAGACCAAAAGAGTTTGCTTACGTTTGTGGAGTTGAACGCCCAGAAACATTTGTGCTGCTCCCACTGCTCTCCACCACAAAAATTTGTTCTTTAGTAGCATTGTTAACGATATCCTCGTCGCTATCAGAAATAACGAAGGACATTCTCTCTACACGAGAAGGCGAATCACGCCACCGACTGAAACTATCATCCATCCTGGAGCCTCTAAATGCTACTGTTTTAACACTGTAGAAATTTCCATTGACATCAACTGACATCCACTACAGACTGTTCCTCGTGCTAACGAAACTCACCACTTATGCAAATCACAAAAAGCTTCAAACGAACTTTTCAAACTGATAAGTATGGCGCGAACACGAACTATGCTAAGCTTTCCTATAGATGTCAACAGCTTCTTTTCAACACGTGTCACCACTCAACCCTCGAAAAACAGATTTGTGAATGGTGGAGCCAAGACGCTTCTATCCCATACCGAAATTTCGAATTAACAATTCATCGAACATTTGATGTGTGATATCACACTAATTATTATTGGTATTATTTAACTTTTTAATATAGAAAGATTAATTTGGACAAAAATGCATTGCATGCTATTTACGGCAAAATGCCCAAACTAGTAGCCAATATAATGCCCTATTCCTGTTGTCAGATAGCGCTGCCAATCAATTCTCCACGAACCCTAATAAGTTTTATTTCTCGATATCTTTACGGGAAAATTTATTAAGCAATGAATGCATGTAATGTCCATGGAATGTCTTTTATTGTAAATTAGTTCGAGTTTTTAGGTTTTTTGTCATTTTTATATACCCAGTATTACCATTTCCAGCTATTTAAAGAAATATTAATATAGAAATACTAACAATTATTATTACACAATATCGATAGAGAAATATGCCAAATTTAGCTTGTTTCATTGTTCTGAAATACTGTGTAGTATGTAATCTCAGCATGGATTCGTTTTCGTTTGTTACAATTATTCATAATGAAAGAACGAATCGGATGAAAAGAAAAAATGAAATCACTAACTCGGTAAAATTCAAATGGATTTCATTTGTGTCATAAGTTCTTCTAAACTTGGTCCAGATGCGGATGGCATTTGTTTTATTTGTGTATCAGGTGAACGAGGTGGTAAACTATGAGCTACCTTCACACCCATAAATGGTGGACACTCGTTCTCATCCACTTGCTGATCTTGTTCGTCGACGAGTGAAATTCCTACAATTAAACGATGTTCATATTTAAATCAATAGTTATCAACTACTCTAATCCACTTTGGATGCAATTGGCATACCCCATTCGTTGTCCTCGTGCAAAGGTTTATTCTCTACTATTTCCTTTACTTTCTGTAGAGGTTTTGGTTTTCTCGCGTACTCCTGTTGACGTTCTCTGCAGTATCTGTCATCGCAGTTCGTATTCGGTCTCAATGTCATTTTTGGGAAGAAATCTTGCATAGCATTGTATCCCAAGTAGTAGGATACCTCGCCGAAATTTAAAAGATATTTCAGTGCATTTTGAACTAAAAATCCAGCCACAATTCCCATGGTTGTAGGTAAAGATGCTGCGCATACACCATCCCGTTTCAATGTCTTTTCATTTATATTTTCTGCCACTATTAAAGGAGGGGCACACTACAAATAACAGAATTATTAAAGAATCATTCATGGTAGATGAAGAGTGTATATTCCGATTTTAATTTTTATTTACTGCGAAACAAGCAGTCTCCCCAGGAATAATAAATTGAATGTGTCCAGAAACAGCATTTTCAGAGACTCCACTTTCAAACCAGCTTTGATTTAGTTCATTACAAGCAGTATTGATTGCCATGCGTGCTTCAAAATTATCTACGCAACTTAGGACTAAATCAACAGGTCCATTGTTTAAACTTGATGTACTAAAAATTAAATGTAATAAGTATACCTCTTTCTAATTTTTAAAAAAAGAATTTGAAACATTGTTGTCTCTACCTTATTGTTTTCATAAAATCATCAAAGTGGTCCACTGTAGTAATATTGTAATTATGAGTCTCAATTTTTACATCAGGGTTAATATCTTGCAATGTTTTTGCTGCCGCATCTACTTTACTCTGACCAGCCTGATACGGTTGAAAGAAAAGTCTGTTCATATTTGCCAGTTCTACTTTGTCATAGTCAAACAGGATCAGCTGAAAATAATAATACTTGACGCTTAAAACACTAAAGATTTATCATTTTTTAAACAAGTAGAAAGTTATTACCTTTCCAATACCGCACCTTGTAAACATTTCTGCAGTCACGCTTCCAACACCACCCACGCCAACTATAGCAATTGTCAGCTCCCTTATTCTTTCATAATTGTCAACAATACCCATACGTTTCAGAGCCATTAACCGACTGAGAAAAAGATAAAAGAACAACATTAATAGCGTCCACTTTTTTTCCAATAACTGAAAGACAAATTTCTTCATATATATAACAAATAGGAGAAATTACCTGTACGGATTCGAGTCAACCACTTCACCTGACATATGTTCTATTTTTTCTCTAGTTGCCAACGTGTTTTTATTCTGCTCTTCTAATAATTTATTTTCGAGCTCTTTTATTCGACATCGTAATTCTTCTAACTCAGCCATTGTATGAATTACAATTAATTGTACGCCGAATACAAAGTGTATGTTTATATGCGCCACGCGATAATATCAGATAATACTATGACACGCGGCGGAAAGTGTAGGCTGTTTGTAACAAGTGTCAAAGCTTGTCACAACTGTGTAAAATAAGAGCTCTCTGTTAGAACAATGTGATACCAATTATCTTTTATAGTTAGAGCATTTACCATAGATGGTGTCACGAATTTATTCGACATTTTTTATTAGGTAAACAAAGGGCGATACCATCTAGCGACAGGAATTGTGTAACAATTATTTAATAACTTGGGCATTCTGTCATAGATGGTGCCCCGTGGATCGATCGATGCTATTTATCGTTACGTACGATAAAACTAAATGGTATTAATTAAAAATGCAGCAATTAAACTTTATCTATGCACATCGTCAATTCTGGTAGGTTAGACAAACAAACTGACACCCTAGATGCGATATATATTTTTCGTTATATGCTAGAATCATCGAAACGTGGCACACATTACATTGTGTACTTACTTCCGGACTTACATGTACATATATATACAATATATGTACATTTGTATAGTAGGTGTGCATCCTGGCGTCATAATTTGTTAAATCTTTAAGATAAATTAATAATAATTTTGTACGTAATACTTCGATCATTTTTATTAATATTTATCGTCTGCTTTCAGAGTTTCACGTAAAAATTCCAAAATACACAATATAACCTACTATTTTCCAAAGGACACACCCTAAAATAGCATCAAGTCTCAAAAAGTCGTTTGCCTAAATTCTTTTCACGTTATAGCTATTATCTTTTTCTTGCTCTTCTTTCATGCGTAATATTCTTTTTAGCTTTTTTAATAAAAAAAAATTTATTATGTATACAAGTTCAGCAACCTGTTAAAATGTATTTATTTACATAGTCGAATTGCTTGTATCACTGGAACCAAAAAACAACGCCAGTATCGAACCCATCCCGTGTGCAGTTTAATTACGATAAAAAAAAAATTGATTGATTACAGGATTCTTTCTTTTAATACAAATGAAATTGTATTTGTCTTTTTTTTTTTTTTAAATTAATTCTATACAGCACTGTTATTTTAGTGTTGTTACAACGTTTTTTTTGTTGTTGTGAATCATACATGTTATTTATTACATGGTATATAAGCGCGAGTGTCTTATATTCACACAGAAGAACAAACTGCAACTTTCTGTTACGGGTTTATCACTTAGCCATCATATCGCTAATTTCGGGATAAATTTTGCAAAACCATTAAAAAACATGAGTTCGCACAGTACAAAGTGAGCTATCCTTTTCCTTTTCGCGACGCGGCTAGATGAGGTCTCGAATTCGAAGCAATCCATGCATGTTGGCTAATTTTATTGTCATACCTCAACCATGTCAAAATACTTTATTTTACAATTAATCCGGCGTCAATTAAACAAAGAACGAAGTTATCTCATTCCGGAACAGAAGCGAGAAACAGAAAAACGTGAACAATCTATAAACGACTTCACTTTGGCATTGTAACGCGAGATGACCGACGATTCGAATGTATACGCATTTGACACGGTAAAATCAGTGTACGCAGTTTCATTTACACTGTACTAAACTGTAATCGAATAACGTGAAAATAGAAAAGAAAATTTCTGAAGACTGGCTCTGCAATGCACAAAAGAAAGGCAGAACGGCATTGCTAGCGGTTTTCGTCCACTCTGACAATTTCATTCTGTACTCACAAGTGGCGTGAAATTCTGTATAACGTAGCAAGATAAAGTATCAAAATTAAAATCCAGAGTATAATATATTAGTTATATTAATGACAAGTCATTAGTTCGATTGATGTTATTTTTTTTCTTTTTTTTTTTTTTTTTGTTCGTTTAAGTTCATTTGCATATGTAAATTGTAATTATTCAATAATCATTTGTTTTCTTATAAAACTAAACTAGATTATCGTAAACTTAACGTATGAACTGGGAGGGTTATCAAACTTGGACAAACGAGTGCGTTTGCGCCGTTTTTGCCCCGTGGAAATTATTCTGAAATTTACGGTTTTCCCGCGTGATCGGGCGGATACGAAGTTCGTAAGCAGAATAAATAAAATGTATTTATAATTATCTGTATTACACAGAGTATTCAATTTTTACACGTGTAATATCTATACCGTAGTATCCACCTCGCATAGCTCTGTAACATCTCATCGTTTTTTCTACCCTCTCTGTGTATGAGTATATGCAATGATGTATGCATGTGTAGGTGTGTATGTATGTATCTCTATGTAATATTGAATAATAAAATATACATATATATACATATAAAATCTTAAAATACACGATAATAAGGCAAAAACGGCGCAGTTAATGAGAATAAGAAGCAAACAGGACAATGTTTTAGCCGATAATATTCGAGAGCCACGCATTGCTCTTCGTAATTTAACTTGACACTCCGCTTGAACAGAGTACGCATTTTCTTGGGCGATACGCTAGCGTTTATATCGAATTGACCGTACTTTATGCGCAAAATTTATACGTATAGGAACTGACGAATTCTTTCGAAACAATACGAAAGGACACGGTGTACAAGTGGAGTGTGTTCTATTCCTATACAGTCATTAAAAAGTACGCTCTCTCTCTCTCTCTCTCTCTCTCTTTCTCACTCACTCATTCAGTCACTTACTCTCTCCCTTCCTTTCAATCAGTCTCTCACGCGCGCGGAGTGAATATTCCTTTTCAAATGTACATAATAAATTGGCTTATATTCAATATATAAATAATTACATGTTTAATTTTATAAGAAACACATTGGTAATGCTGTGTACGAAATAAATTCCGTATCCAAACAAAAGGATCGCGTGTTGACACTGAAGTTTTTAACCAGCGCATCGAGCATACGAATGTATAGCAACACGAGCATTCTTTCTTTTGTTTTTTTTTTCGTCTTTTATCAGTGTAGATTGTTCGTAGACTTTTGCTGACGCCAAGTGTTATAAGGTGTCTGTGAATTTCGACTTTCGATCGATAAAACCTTTTTACGATTAAACGAACGAGTAACGAAGAAACGAAAAATGCCTGTAGAGAAGCATGATAATAGTAAATCATTAAAATCCGCGACCTTAAAACGGTGTCGTTAGTAATCTTAGATTAACGATGCTTCACCGAACAGTGTCAATAGCATCTTTATTGGATACACAGGTATTCACAGAGCACAAAGAGTACTTGGCTATAACAAACATTTTATTCAACTATCATTGTATCAGATATAAACGAACATTTTTATCATCGTTAAAAGTACTAAACCGAGCGGCCTAAGGTACGTGTATAAGTGTGTATGTGAACGTATACGTGTATGAATGTACGTGTACGCGCGCGTACCTGTGTATTCATGTGTGTGTGTGTGTGTGTGTATATGTAGTTCGTGAAGCGCGAGCGTGCGCGTAAACGTACGTGCACGTATTCGGATGCAAAGATGCGAGGGGGTTTTTTTTTTTCCTTTGCATAGTCCTTTTTACCATGATGTCTCGCGTAATTACGATCATTCTCCGGGTGACAAAATATAAACTAATAATCGTAATCGTACTCGTAATCATTGACGGGTTTCCCACGGTCGTGACATTAGTAGCAGCGCCAGTAAAAGGATAATATCTCGGGGTATGTTAGAAATTACAAAACGGAGACAAGCAATGGTCAAGGTATAAACGACGACGACGACGACGACGACGAAACATGCAGACCGACCAATATGGACGGATCGCACGTATACTCTTCAATCTGATAAGTTTCCTGAATCGTGTACAATACCGTAGGCTTTTACGTTCCGAAAAACATTCGCCTAAAAACACTTGACAATGCTTTCTCATCATATAACACCATCGATTGCTTCCCACTTCTCGCTGCTGCCGTCAAGACTTATTTAAACCATACGGGGTATATATTTTTGATCTCGAATAGATGCTCAACTTTTATTATTTTTTTGTTATTTTTTTTTTTGTTTTTTTTTGTTTTTCAAGTAATTCCCAGGCTGAAGAACAAGGAATGTCTAGAATGTCGAACTTTCTGTATCGTATCGAAATATAATTGGCATTCGCGTAAACTGTGGTCCACCCTTGTGTAAAGTTCATTTCGTCTTCTTAAGTCTGCGAACACGGCTGAAATGGAAGGGTCAGGTGGTAACGTGTAACGGGTCAAACGTCCGAAATCGTATGTAAAGGATGCTATGGACGCGACGAATACTTTGTAGCTTCCCGAGTCCCATTTCCATCTTCTCTCACATTTCTCGATCCGTTCGTTCCATGAACCGGTACGCTGCTCACAGTCACGTCTAGGGATGGGATCAAGCCCCTCGCGCGAGCTATCAATACCTAAACGAAAATGTTTGATTCTTCGATAACATTTCTATTTTCTCAGTGAAACAACAGTACGCAACACACCGACTAAAAAATGTCTGTTTTTGAAATGACCGAGCAATTCAAGTCCAGTTGTCGTTTGAATAACGGTTCGATATTTAACGGAAAATATTATACATTCTCGTAACTGGTACCAGTTACCCGAAAATAATGGTTACTTCGAAATCGAGTGTGTTACACTCCTTTAAAAAATGACAAGGTTCCAATTGCACGATAAATTAAATACATAAAATATATATATATATAGATATACATATATACTTATATTACGCAAAATATAATGCAGTGAATTCTCACATATTACTATATAACAAAGCGGCAGAAAGGACAACTTTCAAATAAATTAACCTCCATCTACACTTGCTTGTTGGGGTGGAATCAAACATTTTCTTTCAAACGATACTGATACTGACGCGTGCGACTTCATCCTGTTAATAGCACTAAAGGGACGCATCCATCGCAAAACAGAGGCGAAACATACCGTGATATTTCCCGATCGTTGATGCGACAATGTAAGAAAAAACTCGGCAGCGCTTTATACAGTTTATTCTAACTATTGATCGTTCGACATTAAACGACACACAGACTTGAATCGTTTGAATATTTCAAATCAAACATTTGTTTAGTCGCATCTCTAGTCACTCTATGATCGCTTCAAACGATCTTCTTGTTAATAAGAGAAAAGGAAGATAAAAAACACAGTTGTCATGAAAATTGTGAAATTTTCAAGTACAGGCATACCGTAAAAAATAAAAACATCTATCGCTTGCAACAAAGAAGATCGCTCAGCGTTGTTTAAGGGCCGTTATTACTTTACTTCGCACGTTTTCTTTTTCTATCGTATTATTATAAAGCCGCACTGGTCATTCCATGCTCCCCAACAATTTATGAATCGAATATCACTGACAATAAACACAGTTCCTACGCTGACCGCAATGCGTGCTTACATTTTCATTTTTCTGTTCGTTATTTAGGTACCTGGAACGACCCTGCGTAAAGCGTAACGTAGTTTCTTGCTTTAACGTATTCGCAATAGAAATGTTGTCCCGTGACAACTGCTCTCTGTTAACGATACATTTCAATATGTGTTTCCACGGTCAACGTTTGAACACTTTAGCAAGAGCAGTGCTTACCATTGCGAATCAGTTAAATCACTTTAATCAGCGACACCAGACCGTGCCCCGACGATTGATTTTTTTTTTTCATATACTTAACCACGTGTCAACCGAGAAATTCCGCGTATCCGTGGATATTACGACATAGATACGACGTTTGTAGCCCCAATGGCATTACTTCCTCTTTTATAAATATCATAAAATAGAAACTGTGAATTCGAATTAATACGAATTTCACGGGATGTTGGATCAACACGCATCGTATTTCGGAGATGCGAATGAATTGTTTTATGGCGTTCTCGTGGTCGATTCAGCAATACGTGAATGATATGGTTAAATAATTATAAATTGGAAATTGAGGTGGTGACATTACCTGGGCCGTTACTCACCTACAGGCAACGAACCTGTCATGGGAGTAGGTGACGATGATACCATTAATCGACCTTGATCTTTTACTATCGGGTCTAAAATACGCAATACAAAATAAGTCTGCGCGATATAAAACATACATATATAATGTGCTGTACTTGAATGTTTCGTTTACTTACAAAAATAGGGATGCTCCATAGCTTCGCGTGCAGTGAGTCTCTCATAGTGGTCATAGCGCAAAAGTTTGTCAAGGAAATCCAGGCTTTCGGCCGACACCAAATGTTGATTTTCCGAATGCATAAAACGTTCCCAACGTTTGCGCGAATGTCGGCCTAGTATGTCATTGAAACGGGGATCCAATCCGATGTGATACTTGTCAAGGTATTCAAACAGTTCTTCGGTTCCAAGAACCTTTGCAATTCTAACTAGTTGGTCATAATTGTCGTGTCCGTGAAAAAACGGTTCTTTCCTGAATATCATACTCGCAAGCATGCATCCAAGAGACCACATATCTAATGAATAATCGTACATCTACAAGACAAAAAGGGCTACGTGTCACTCAAGATGTAACTGGAATGTTTGAAAAAACATAAATATATATACATATATATATATATTCGCTACGAACCTGATAATCCACGAGTAGTTCCGGACCCTTAAAATAACGTGAAGCTACCCGTACATTGTACTCTTGACCAGGATGATAAAATTCTGCTAGACCCCAATCGATTAACCGCAGCTTCCGATTTTCGTGATCTATCATAACGTTGTGCGGCTTGACGTCCCTATGCATTATTCCCATACTGTGACAATAATCCAATGCCTAAAGGAAACAGAAAAAAAAAAGTAAATGGGGATGTTATCTAGGCCGTTAACGTCTTTTTACAACTAGCACGGCTACAGACGCAAACTGAACTGAAGTGCAGAGTGAATTTGCATACTACTTACTTAATTAACTATTCGTGAGTCCGAAAATTCAAAGAATTTCTAAAAATTAAAGACTACATAATATATTCTAATGGATACAACGTTTATCCATGAAAATGTTTGTTAGAGAATATAAAAAATGTTTTATGATTTCTAACAGACGTTTCAACGGAAATGTTTCACGTTTATAAATGTAATTTGTGCAACAAAATAAATATCTTCGAACTCTTCTTTGAACCTGTGATGTACACCTACATCTATTAAAATAATAATCTCGAACTTGTTTCCATTGCACTTAACAATACACGCACTTTTAATAACTCGTAGAGGTAGTATCTTATGTCGTAGTCTGTTAGTGTCTGGTATAATTGCTTGAAATCTGTGTTGTTGACATGTTCAAAGATCAGTGCCGGTGTTCTCGATACTGGATCTTTAACCACTGCTTGGAGTGTAATTACGTTGGTCCCTCCTTTAAGATTTTCTAAGATTTTAATCTCTCTTTTTATCTTCTTCTTTTTTACGGGCTAGAAATTGGAGACAGATCGAAATTATATATGTTCTGTAAGATTACTGTTAAATTACTCAGTCTAAATAAGTTTCGTACCTTTAAAATTTTTACAACACATTTTTCATTATTTGTGATGTTAACAGCTTCGAATACTTCGCTATATTTTCCTCTGCCTAATTTTCTCACTAACTGGTAATCATCTTGCTGCCTATATAATAAAAGAGTCAATTATTATCCAGAGAAGTTAAAGAACTTATTGGAGTAACTGGAAATACATGTTCAAACCTATACTTACCCCCAATCAACAACGTAGGATTCATAGTCCCAGTAGTCTCTAGATTTGTGTGCATTCACTTCAGCATAAATTCGTGCTCTACTAGGATATGCCATTCTCTTCAATATATGGCTGTTACTATTTGTTTTGTCGATTGCTATGCTCTCACCGTTGTCTATCAAAAATTTATAAGGGCTAGTTACTTTATCTCCTCCACTCACCCAATTACGAATGTGCGAGGAAAAAAGTACACCTGAATAAAAAAAAATTCAGATTAAAAAATATAAACAAAATGCTTATCTTAATCTAGTTGAACAAGGAAAATATTAAAAGACTAAAACATATATACATTTGCTTTAATTTTTACCACGAGAAATGCTAACTCGTGTTTTCTTTAATGCAATACATTGAAGCAATGTTTCTACCACAAAGAATACGTCATAGAATATGTAATTGTATTGACATAATATTTTCTACTCCTAATTGGTATTCATGCATAATATATAAAAAAATTTACATATAGAGACAGATATTTCCAGTGAAACACACACCAATTATGTCATACGTAATCCGTTGAATGTAAGCGTGTACAACAAGAGTAGTACAGTGAAACAAGAAATCAAAAAATTCAAGATATGCCAAGAACTATTAATTACCATTGCATTCTGTTGAATATACGAATGATGAAATACATGACCAAATCTTTTTACGAATGTTAACATGTATTTTCTACTGGAAGTACCTATGCAACAGAGTTCAAATGAATTTAATCGAAATTATCATTTACGTGGTTAGGAAGTGGAGAACAACTTCAACAGAAATCGTTATGTAGCATGGAATAAGAGTATCAAAGGCAGAAAAAACAGAGCACAGTACGATAGACCGATAAACAGAGAAATGTGTTCAGTAATTATAAGGAACGATGAGCATATTTCTCAGATGTCTATTGATTGTGAGTTTACCGAAGGCTACCGGTTGGTTTCAAAGAATTTGTAATTATGAGTTTCCGAATGAACTGTTAGAAGAATAAATGACGAATATGTTAACAAAAATATGTAATATCTTGGTTGAATAAGATGAATTAAGGTAAAAATTAATCTGCTATCTGCTGAATGAAATAGAAGCACGCACAAGCACAAGGCACGAACACACATGTACGAGATAAATCACACGCCATCGCGATCAGGAAATTAATGTTGACTTATTTCGGACTCACCTAATGCATTCCGGACCCGAATCTTGATTGAATTGACCGCACAGGATCTGGAGATTCGCCGTGAAGTCACGTAAACCGTTTACGGAATACGTGAAGCCGCGCGAACGCGTGAAACTCAAAGATTTTTGCGGGCGGCCGGCTTCACAAACGAGCGAGGTCCAAGATGGCAGCCAACAACCCGCCACAAATTTCAATTCTATAGATCGAAAACTTTCAACCTCTAACTATCCATGGTGTATCTCAACAGTAAGGTTATTATGCACTAACAGTATCCCCGTAAAATAGCGATAACGTTACGATGAAATATGTCGTTATACATACACCGCGCACGCTTCACAGGCTTTCATTGCGTACACGTATCCCTCCGAATCGCTCCGAATACATCATTTTACGTAACAAAGCTTCAGTCAGTGAAACTCGTTGAGAATAAAACTATAAACTTTTGTAATGAAATTTCCCATTAAAAAGGTGAATTTTACAATTCGATTAAGAATAATGCGCATACACTTCTTTCGTTTGGTACAAATAAAAGATTGTATTAATAGTATGTGTGGTGAAGAATTTAAGAACACCTGTACATTAACCAATCAAAATTACCGTCGGTTCGAGTGATACACCATTCTATGTGATACTGCATTTAATGGTTCTGATATCATAGATTATAGATAACCAATTGATATGTATTTTTCAAAAGTATACACATGAACCTTATACATTTAAATTTATAAACTTCTACCCTACACTAATAAAATCGATGAAGATGAAAAACAATCGAAAGGTGTATCTGAGATTAAAATGTTTTATTACTTCATTCAATGTTAATTAATGAAGCTTTATTTACAATTTTTTACTAACATTATCAGCAAAATTTATGTACGAAATAAAACAAGAGTTAAATAGGAACATCTTTATTTTAAACTTACTAAAATAATTATATTTAAAGAAACTGTTGCCACGTACTATGTTAAAGTCCTGTAGTTTGGTGTAATGAATACAGACGATGTAACAACGACGAATCATCGTTCTTTAAAAGCCACAATTTCAAATGTTCTTCCTCATTAGATGTACCTTCCTATAATCGAACGTAGGTTTTAATAATAATAAAAAAAACGAACTAACTAATATTGCATACAACAATCTTACCACGTTTGCATTGGTACTAGATGTATTAAATTCCTCTTTAAGACACGAAGCATTTAAAAGCCAAAGTTGGGCAGATTTGTGAACGATCCACAAATCAGAACTTATTTTTCCAATAGATGGACTATTATTTTTACATGCGGAACTATAACATTTATATTAAATAATTAGTATCGAAGTATGCTATATACAGTATGTGTGTGTGACATGTATATATAATAATTTAAGAAATTTACTTATTGAGGAAACTTTCAGTTACTTTTTCCAAGTTCATTTTCCATGGAACAATAGTTCTTAAAAATAAGTTCTTCTGTTTTTCAGTATCCAATGTCTGCATCTTTCCCAGTACTTTAAGTAATCTATTCCTCATTTTTTTATCGTTTGTTGTACTTTTCTCTTTTGTTTTCTCCTGTCTCGTATCCCACTCTATTTTATCGTCACACGCAAGATCTCTATAGTAACCACGTTCCTCGGATGATAAATTTTTCCAAAGATTAGTTAATATCTGTGCGATTTGAGGTGCTGTCATATTAGGATTCTGTTTTACAACTGAAAAGTGAAGCATTCATCGTAAATTATATACAGACTTCTTTGATACTATACATATACTAGGGTACTCTGTACATTGTTTACCTTGTGATCTGTTTTGTTTTGAAAAGTTAATGAAGCCGTCGCATACGTTTGTATGATACGAGTCACTCTCCAGTGGTTCCTCTAAATTTATATTGATACAAGGTCGTACATCTGTACCTCCCTATTAAAAGCAATTTTTCCACTTCACAATGTTCCTTTAATTCTGTTCATTATGAAGTTTTTACCTTTAAACCAGGCACCTGTCCTTTGCTCCATTCCATTAGTGTAGTACACTTTTCTGCTTTCGTTTTTTTCTGCTCTCGTGAAACTGGTGTATTTCTGTTATGTGTCATGTTTTCTTTTTCGCTTTTATTTGTATTATCTATCCTTGGAGAATCGACCCATTCAAAATCATCACCCAAATCTACAGTAGGTAATTGACTCACCGTTTCAGTTTGTGAATCTAATTCTAATGGGGGGCTATCGTCAGTATTTTTCCTGTAAACATATGAAAATATATCAACAATTCTTTTGTTACAATCCGCATGTATGATATATGAAACACTAACATCCGAGTGCAAGACGTATCGTTATTGTTGCGTACTGACGTGAACTTTTGGGAATCGTTTGAATCAGACTCACTTAAATGTAAAATAGGTATCTGAACATTAAAATCATTCAAATTTTTCTCGTATCCACCATTATTCTTATCTTGATTACTTTGTCCATTCTTAACAGTTTCTGTATTCTTATTACATTCAGCATTCGTATTCACGGCCGAATAGAAATTTTTATCTGCGTTGTTATCACATTTACCCGATTCATCAACATACTCCTCAGTCACTTTGTCACTGCTTTCTTCTAACAATATATGTCGTTTTTTACAAGCAGGCCATTCACTCTCTTCAACACTAGCGTCTCTTTTGAGCGTATAGTCGTGGTAATCGTTTAACGACTCATCGCAAGTATCTTCTTCTTTTACTTCTTTTTGTATTCCATAAAAGTCCTTCACACATTTATCGACTGTATCAAAAACTATTTGCTGTAAACATATGTATTATGTATAAACCTGAATATAAATTGCAATTATCCTTATTAAGAATTTAATCACCTGTTCTTTGAAGAGAATGGAAGTTTTATTTGGTTCTAGATTAACGTCGATATTTGCAGCACTTGTTAATATGTAAAGTAGAAATATTGGTTTCTTTCTGGATGATGAATCGTGTTGAAATGCATCCAATATTGTTCTAGTTACTACCTAAAGATTAATCCTTATATTTCATGATTGCTTGATATAATTTTGTAAAATGCATAAAAACTGTACCTTTTCTAAATCTTTATGTTTAATGGGTCTATTATTTACATAAATGTATTGTGCTCCAGATTGAAATAGATCGGACACATTCTGAGTTCCTTTAAGAGGCAGCATTAACTTCATACTAGTCTGAAGCATATAAAAGCTTTATTTTTAAAGCACCATACATGATATTATTAATCATGTAATTACCTCTGCATTTTGAATGTCCATCCAAGTCATATTTGTTGTCACCTTTTTACCTAAAACATATGTTACTGCTTCTTCCAAGGTCGGTATGCTAGGTTTTGTAAATATGACATTGCCGTCAACTTTATAACTTATTCGTACAAAAGATTTACACATTGCATAGCTCTTGACGAATGATTCTAATACTTTAACATCTTGATTTGCTTTCTTTAAATTAGTTATAATTTGTCTTCGTACAGGAATTTGTTTAAATAACTGCCTAACTTGTATAGTTGTTCCTGCAAAAAAAATTCCGGTACTTGGAGAATATTACATATACTTTCAACCTTGTCCTCAGTACCTGTAGCTCTGTGATGAGGTTCAGATTTTGCAATACATCCACAATGATCAATGGTGTACATTGTAGCAACTTCTTCTTGTTTTGTTTTAGATATGATAGTAAGGTCAGACATTGTGCTTAATGCATACAATGCTTGACCTCTGAATCCATAAGTTTCTAATGAATCTGTGTACAACAGAAATACAAAATTCCAATAATCAGAAGATAAGGCATTTGGTTTACTCTTTTATAATACAATTACTCACTCATATCGGAAAAGTTAGAAATTTTTGAGGTGTAAGCAGATAAAGCAACGTAAGGTGCATCTGTTTTGGTAATACCACAGCCATCATCCTTAACTTCTATTAGAGCAGCTCCGTTATCACTCTAATGGTTAAAACATAAATGTTACAATATAACGAGAGTAGTGGTTAATTATACAGTGTGGAAGACAAAGGCAAAGAGTAATGAAATACCAAATTAACTTCAATATTGTTGGCATTGGCGTCTAATGCATTCTCTATCAATTCCTTGGCGGCGTTCGATACTGAAGTTATAACTTGTGTGGTCGTTATAAGTTTCACTGTATCACTATCCAAAGCTGAAATAGTCATTTTCTGTGCGACGTTAAATTATTCGATTCAAACGTGACAACGTTTATCAGGTTTAATTTTTTTTTAAATCGAAACGTAACTTTTTAATACATCTTATTTACATCTGTATAGATCCGTATATTGATGACGAACCGGGGCAATAAAGACGTCAGCAGAAGTCAGTAAATTTGAAATTTTATAAGCCAATAAAAGCGTTCACTCAGCTACACTACAGTCTTGGTGTGAGAGATCGCGATCGTAGCGACATTCGTTCGTCACATTGTAAAAACAGTTCAAGTATAATGTACGACATTTCAAATAGCATCAAAACAAACGTTGAAAGAATAAATCATTGACGTGTGAAGTACTATTAGCAACATGGTCACAAAAACATTACTTTATAGTATGGAGCTTTGAGTCAGACGAGTTATTAGTGATAAGGTGGTCCAACGAAATATGAATACAGAATAATATACGTATGTATAAAGCGTTCGAATACTTTTGTGATCCACTGACGGTGCGTGTTTACAATAAATTTATTGTAAGTATCAATTTAACTGATTACAATCTTGAGATTTCCCCCGGTTATAGATACCATGTTGTTTTGAACACTTCAGTTTAACTTACATAATCGATTAATTAAAAGTTTAATACGTTCCAATATAATATTATCGTGAACCATTGCAAATCTGTGTAACGAATCGCAGTGGCGTAGGAATTCGAGACGATTGCGTGCAGAGGAAATTTGAATGAATAACCGTTGCATCAGAGGATTCTGTATTAAAGTAAAACTGAGGAGAAAACAGGTGGTATATTTATTTAGAAATTCTTAGTAATTAACAAGATATAAAATATGCTGATACAACAGACTGCTTCGCATAAATTAATGATGAAAATATAACGATTGAATTGCATCATTTGTATTTTTCAGTCAATGTGGAAACAAATTTAATGTACGCCTCCTTCGCATCGTCTTGCGACATACCGTCCTTCGATTTCCACGCATCCCATTTGGCTTTTCCTTTTAAATCTAGCATGCCGGGTCTAGCTGGAATTTCAATAAATGGATCACCCTTTAGCATCTTAATTTCACTGGCACATGATACATATCCATGTAAATATATACATGTATACATATATGTACATACGTGTGCACATGAGGTGCATATTCGACATGGTAACTTACACGTGTCGACGTTGCCTACCGTCGCTTGTTTAAATAATGCGTAAAGTTCCAAAAATTCTTGATCCGTAGGCCGCTTAGTGAGAGATTTAACGGCCTCTGCCGCTTCTTCGAATTTCTGTGAAACCGGTATAAAAGCAAAAGCGAATTTTAAAACAGAACTTTGTTAACATTTCGTCACGACTGCTCATTCGACTTTGTCACGTAAGAATCTTCGACCCGACCCGATATTAAATTAAGGATGACTGTGCAAGAGTCAACTAATATATTTACGTGGCTGCAGTGCGTCCAGGTGTCCGTGGCAATTCTGTTCATTTGAATCTTATAAAATGAATAATTCAACATTCCCGAAAATAACTTTGATTTAACTCTTACCGCTTCTAATCACAATGCCGATCAGTCCCCAAGAATTACGATTCCGCGATAACGTAAACTGAACGGGTATTTGTATGTCAGAAAATAGTATGTGTGATGTAATGGTAGATTATCGTTAAGACATAAAATTTGAATATTACGGAACACAAACGACACCAAATATTCCCTGAGTCGTACAAATGAGATGCATCACATAATACACGTATATTTTTCGTAGAAACGGTTCCATCGCCGAACAAGAAAAATGAAAGAGAAAGGGAGGTGAGGTGGGAGGGTATGACAGTTACCTGATTGAGAGACATCCTTTCACGAAGTTGCCGGTAACGTACGTTGAACAAGTACTGGCCAACGGATCTACCTATGCAACGATTAAGTATCCTTTCCGGCCACGTCCCCCACTTCTTCGCTTACTGAATCCGTGCACTGATAATTGTGCCCGATTACAAAAAACACAGTAGATAAACTCGTCAAACAGCTTGTTAATTCCGAACGATACAATGTTCGAATCAAGAATTTAACGACTCGTTCTTTTTTTCTTTCCTCTTTAACTGATGTTCCTCTCTTGTCTATCGACCAACAGAGGGACCTTTGACCCGTTGCACGAAGAAACGTACCAGAATTTTACAACATCGTTCAAGGTCGAGTGAGGAAGTTACGACGTGAATCGAACGTCGATCCACTTTTGAGAAAGATGGCCTACGAAGATACGAGTGCAGATGTTCGGTCCAGGAGATCAGGGAGGAATGAAAACGACGAAAAGAAAAGGAGGCCAACGTGCCACATCATTGTACTCTCGTCTGCTGCGACTTCGAGCCATTCAATGATTATTCCGTTCTCGTGGCAGGATTGCTATCATTGCTATCGGACCGGGAACGACGTAAGCGCCATTTCGTGAAACGATACTTTAAATCTCCTTTCATTTTTTCCATCGACGATTCGTTCGGTTTAAACGATTTATTATTCACGTACTTGCAGGAACGCCCGAACGGGGCGTAGAATAGAAAGCAAGAGAGGTTATCCAAACGCAGCTGTTTAACGGGGTTCGTTGGCGGGGAAAAGTATGAGACGAGCCCGGTGAAAACCACGAAAGAACGCGGAATCGCGTCGTGGAATTCGACGCTCGTGAACGCGTCGCGGGCGATTTAACGCGAGCAGAATTGGGTGGGATCGGGTAAGCTACGTTGAAATAACGGCTGCACGACTATACGCAGTACCTCTCCGAGCTATAATGACTTTGTAAAAACAGCAGGGCTTCGGATCTTGAGATATCGGATCTATAGATGACTATAGAATTATAAGAATTCCTCAAAAACCATGGTGACTCGATAAAAATTTCGGCCAGTGTATACCGAAGATCGGTGCCGAAGGCTTGTGTGGTTACTCGAGGAACGAGCGAGCGAAAGCATGAAAAGGATGAACGATTCGCGGAGTATACATATATACACGAGTGGTCGACGAAGATCGACGAGAGCCGACGAGAGTGGCCGATCGTAAACGCGGGACCGTCGGCGGAGTAAACCGCTCGAGAAAATTCAACGGGCGCGCGCGATTTGTCGCTCGATCGGCGATCGTCGTCGACGTCGGGTTGCTCGCGAGGAGGACAGTGCGCGTGGTCTGCAAATGCAACGAACGTAGAAGAACGTGTGGTGGCCGTGGTGACGCGAGTCAGTCGAGATCTCGTGTTCTTCGTAATACACGAGCTGGTGTGTGGTGAGTCGAAAGTTTCGTAACCCGCCGATCGATCGAGTCAGGGAAAGAAAACGAAAGAAAGGATTTCGTGCGTCATACGTGCAGAAATTCCGAGGACTGAAACAAGAAGGGGGAGAATAAGGACGAAAGCGGAGGGGAACGAAAATATTTCGGTGGGTGCATCCGTGTTTACCGTTTTGTTTCGTAAACCAGAAATCTTGACACACGACCAGTTATATCGAGAGACAATTCCCGATGGAATGCGGCCGTGCTCGTTAACTCTTGTCTCGGGTCCATGCCGCTAATCGTGTGGACGTCGCCTGGGCTCTCTTGGTAGCCCAATAGGAATGTCGACCCGTGACTTCGCGAAAGAAAGATGCGCAGGATCGTCGAACGTTGCGACGAAACGAATCGCTGATTCGGAAATTGTTGCTGACACCGAAATATAGAATCCGGCAACGGTAAACGCGTCGATAACACGTGCAAGTTTTCCGCGCGAGAAAAGCAAATAACCGCTGTAGTGTATCCAAAACTCGCGATAGCGTGCAAAACCAAACGTCCGATAACGGAGCACGTTTCGCCCGGCTATCGCTGTTACACCTGGAATTCGACTTTCTGTATATGGTTTTAATACTATTCCACTTTCCGTAGACCCGAGCCAAGTCGCGGCGCGACGAGTGGAGAGAGGAGAGGAAAGAAATCGAGCGACGGTCCGTCGATGTTACGATCGACCATTGAAACGTCCGTGTCGCGGGTAAAGAAACGGGCAACGATGATCGACTCGAGGAGTTTTTCGATTGGCAAGGTTTGATATCGCAAAACAAGCAGAAAGATGAGTCTCTCGCCGGTCGCCAACAGAAGCTTCCTTCACGGGGATCGAAAGGGTTTCACGAGTTCGGAGAAAATTGTGTACGCGACGCTCGACAGTCTCGCCCTGAAACGAGCGCGATTACCTTTGCAGCTGCTACCTACCGATACCAACGATTTCAAGAAGGAGGAAAACGTTTCTGTCGTGTCGTCCGTAACCGGGAAGTGCGATCGGAAGGTTCGTAGAATGTCGATTCCGTGTTCATTTTCGGTGTTTCTCGACCTTCTAGTGAATTCTGAAATCCGAGATTCGTAGGAGTGATTCGTTAGTTTTCAGCGGGTTACGGTCTACCAGTCATTCGAAGCCCGCGATGATATTCCCTCTTTCGAAACAGTTTATCGATACGCGTGTAAACTGACGTGCAAACTCGGTTTCCTTTAAGGGAAACAACAATGTTGGGATTAGGGTCTCCTACCACTTGGTAAATTTAATTCAAGTATGAAATAAATAAATCGAACGTTAATTTGACATATATTTCAGTAATTCCCAATAAGAAGTGGTAAAAGGCATGTATTCCGACGTCGGTTTTTCCCCTAGTGGAAACTGAGATTGCACGTAGTGTACATACATACGTGTTTCGCGTTCAAATTCGTGGGAAGGTCGCCGTGAATTCCCTTCAAACAACTGGTTGCCACGGTAGTTGGTACGACACGTTCGAAACAGTTACGACTCGTACCATTTGCCCGCGAAACCGTTAAGAATGTCCTAGAGTTCCGGGAACAACATCTCGCGAGATCGAGCCACTACTGTACGTAAGATCAACGCGTGAAATTCTTCTAAACGCTTCAGATTAACCGGGACAACGTTCCGTTTGAAAACCGTGGGCACTACTCGACGGGAACAACAACAACACATGAGCCGCCCTCGGAAGACCACCGAACCGTCGAAAGCAGAACGGAATATGTCGTCGGGCGAGATGTCCAAGGAAAAACTTCCGAGCAGCGTATCGATGCCGATAACGCTGCTGATAAAAGCACGATTAGAGTCGTGGAAAACGTCGAGGAAAGAGAATTCTGTTCGGGCGATTACGAGAAGATCGAATTATCGTCCAGCGTTAAAAAAACATCTTTGAATCGTCGAGGTGTCGAGACCGAAACAACGAGTTTCGAAAACGAAACAGCTTTGTATTCGAACACAGGGATAACTTTGAAATCCGTCTCCTTGAACGATCTCGGCGACGAGACGAACACGTTAGAAGCGTTTCCCGTAGCTGACAAGTCGACGACAACCTCGACTGGACTCGACCACGAGCGAGAAAGCAACGATAAAAAAAAGAGACATTTCGCGAGAAACGTGTTACACTTGGTGCCAGATTATCTCGCGAAAGGGTCGAAGCGAGCGCGAAAAAAGAAGAACAGCTTGAGCTCTTCGTGGAGCTCGTTGAGGCCGGAGTCCATGGATTCGAGGAACGGGACTGGCCTCGACTCTAGGTACAGATCGAAGAGCCTTTCCAGGGACGAGTCCAAGTGTCGAGAGATCTCGTCCCCGACGAATTTCGTCCACGTCGCCTCTGCGACAAATCCGAGGCTGATCTCGAATGTAAACACGGTCCAATTCGGTTCGGAGCAAGTTGTGATCACGCACGAAGAAAAGTGTGCCACGGTGCCTCTCCTTGTCTCTTCCAGGGACGAGGATACGTCGACCGAAAATCGGTCCGAGCAACGATCGATCGTAGCGGAAGGAACGTCGGATCGTGGTACCTCGAAACTAGGTAAATCTGTATCTATATTATTACTCCCTTACTCTGTCCTATTCTTGAATACTAACAATCAAATTAAATTAAATTACATTACATTAAATTAAATCTAATCGTTTCCACTAAATCGTTCTCCGATCCGAACGAAATTGCCACACAGTGTTTAATCGCGATCTCTCGAAATTCCAGGTAGGAATATCGCCATATCGGAGACAGTGGAGTCCAGACGGGAATTCTTGCTGGAGTTGCGCGCAAGATCGGCCCAAGTGTTGGAGCGTAGCCAACGAGTGAAAACAGGCGAGTGTCGGACCGACGATCGCCAAGAGAGAATCTACGAGCCACCGTGCGAGCCGGGTTTTCCATTGGCACGCGCCAACCACAGTTTTCTATGGAGCGTGCGTGCCAAAAGCCGTTTAGAGAATTGCCGCGAGGAGGAGGAGGAGGAGGAGGAGGAGCCGTGGTCGCGCGACAGGCTGGATCGGAGTATCGAGGACGACATCGACGATGGACAATACGACGACGTAGGGCCGTCCGATACGATTAATCAGGTGACGCATACCTATCCTCTATCTAGCTCGAACGCACACGCGCGACAGAGATTGCTCAACCGGCCGATAGTTTGGTAGAATGTCTGATGCAGCCTGAATTGAAAAAAGCAAGTTCGCCGATCGTGTTACGCTTACGCCTAATTCGCTGTCTTTTGTGTCGCACGATTCACCGATTAGTGGGAGGAGCTGGTGAAGGCGAAGAAGGAAGAGGAGGGGTTGGAGGAGGAGAAGGAAGACGGAGAGGACAAATACGAGGACGTGGGCTCGCCTTGGACACAGGTGGGGACACGATACGGAATCAAATGTATCGATACTGTACTCATGAGTAGTATCGAAAAGGAAGTATATAGTTATATCTATATCGCTTCTAAAATTATTTCATTCGATTCGACCTTCCTTCTACCTAGAATGTTTTTCAATTGAACAATTGTTTCAATGTATTAGAAGAAAATTCGCCTCTCGACCGAGGCAAGTTGATGTTGACAATTGGGACACGATACGATACCTACTTCAAAATACTCGTGAGTACAAGTATCGAATGCGAAGTATCGAGTAAAAAAAGTATCGGTTTCGATTTCAAAGTACTCGATATCGAGAAGTATCGATACTATTTTCCTGTCCCTAGACACAGATCGACCATCGGATTGCTACGGATTTCGACGAGATTATCTACGACGACGTTGCGTCTCCAATTGCGAAGGTGACACCAAACGATTCGAGTAGCAATCGTTTCAAGCTAAACGAGCCTGTTGAGAAAAATACTGCTGGTAGCACCGAGATTCAGGATGACGAATCGAAGCGAGACAACGACGACGATGACGATCGCCATTATCCGTTGCTGCCCAACGACTATTCTAGCGTGGATGACGCGGATACCGATGAAATGGAGGACAACGAGCACGGTGTGTACGATGACGTCGGCCTGCCAAGCGAGGAACGAGTCAACAGCCTGTACGCTGGTTCTACGACTGGCTCGATCTTCGGCAAGGAATCCGAGTGGGAGGATCTGGAAGATCCGACGACCGGTTCTCTATCTCGCGCGACGAAAGACAACGGATTCTCGTAAGTGTATGAGTACCGTCACGAGAAAACACGGCTTCCACTAGGGGAATATGTGGCGAAGGGAAAGGGCCTCACACCATCCTACAGGCTGGAAGCCGAGTTTTCTCGTGACCCATATAGCACATAAAATAGCCGTAAAATGCGCGTCTTCAAGGCGTCATGTACTATCTAGGGAGTGTACACGCGATCGAATACGATGGGAATGCTAAATGCGAGACAAACCACCTGTAATTCGTATCCGTTTGTTTTTCATGATTGAAGCGCGGAGACGCAAGTCGTTTCGAATAAGACGAAGACCCGTCAGAAGTGGCTGCGACGACGAAAGGTCGGCCGACAACGTTCGGAGGTGTCCAAAAAGAGTTGGAAGTCGACGAAAAAGCTGATCGGAGACTCCACGTGCCACGGTGAGTAGGGAACAGATCGTTTTTGAAACGAACACAAGCAAGACCGAATACAGTAATTCCTCGATGAGAGTTCGAAGGCTTCTGGACATTCACGAGGGAAGATCCCCAGGTGTAACGCTGACTTTTCGATGAGATTTAGCACAGTGATTTCTTGGAATTCCGAAGACAGTGACATTTGTTTCATCCGCAGATGGCCATTAGTGTATTTAAATTAACGTGTAAAATCACGTTTAACTAAATTAACGTTTTAAATAACATATTTAAAAAAAGGGTTTTCACCCGTACGTATTAAATTAAATTAAATTAGTTTATGAAATATTTAATGTTCAGTGCCTTCGAACACTCATCGAAGATTTCCTGTAGACGGATGCGTCCACGCAACGACGCGATCGTTTTCCCATATGGCTTTCGCGATACCAATCACGGGATAATATTATAGTTATTACGTACCGTACGATTTTCTCTCTCCGTCATCGAGGAAGGGGAAACGAAACGTTCCGGCGATGTTTCTCGGTTCTTCCGCTCGAGAAGAAGTTTACCTTTCCAGCGACGGTAGAGAGTCCATTCTTCTTTTTTTTTTATCGTGAGAGAATTTATGAATAACATCGCCTCGATGCCTGTCGACCGTGCGCTTTCGCGCACAGCTCGAACAATCGGTACGATTCACAAATGACGAATCCCTCGCGCTTCGAAATCATGCGTTCTCGAAACGCAACGAGGAAACGTCTGTGAACGTTGTGTCCGAAGGACACACACACGCGCGCACGCGTACGTTCACGGGAATTCCAGCGAGGTGCCGTTTACCTTCAAGAATTCGTGTATCGTAAGGAGGTCGCACGACGACCAACGAAACGTCCCGGAATGGAGCAGAACCGAACGATTTCGTGGTGCTGGCGCGCCACGTTTTAAGTTCTTTTCCTCGTCGAATTATTCGGTTCGGTCGCGCCGAGACGATGGCGTTTCGAAACTCTCTGGAGTTCTTAATCGATCGAACGTGATTTCTACCGTCGATCGAATCGAGTGCCAAGGTCGAGGCGGCGGCCTCCTGTGCTCGACGATTCGCAGACTTCTATACAAGGTGTAACGAAAATGTTGAAGGACCCGGAAATGGGAGACTCGTGAGGTGATTCGATACAAGTTTTTCCTCGGCGAAAATGTTATCTGAGGCTTTGTTGACGAGTGTGAGTCGTGCATAACATTTTTTCGTATTGTTACAAATAACGGAAATATTCAAAGCGGACATACTTATTGCCCCACTCTGTATGTATAATCTGTGCAACGATTCCAAGTTTGTCCGTATCGACACGCGTTTGTCCGGCTCTCGAAAGAACGAAGGCGCTCGCTCGCGACTAGCTTCGAAAAGAAACGCGCTTTGTTCTTCTCGGGATCGAGACTGTGGAACAGCACGCGACGCACTGTACCGTACTATCGGACAGTGTAATCGCACAGTCGCGAGTAAAAGTTGCCTGCTCGTCCCGCGACGAACAGAACGCGTAATTTACGACTCCTCGAGAGTTATGCCCTCCCCGGAAATTTCTCAGCCACTACCCGTTTCGATACGATTTTCAAGAGGAATCGACGAAATTTCAATCACAATCTCGGTTTCTCGTAATCGAAGCGCGCAGAGTATTTATACCGGTATTTACTTCGATTTTCATTAATATATCGCCTTGGGTACAGTTTGGATGGCATAATATCGGTATCAAAATCATACCGGTTCTAATTTTACTTTCATACTTTCCCGATACTTAATTCTCTCTTCCTATAATATACAAAGTGCTGTTTATAAAAAACGCAATAAAAAAAATTGCGAATGAAAATTTGGAAATGAGTATTTGGATACCTGGTTGCCTACGCAAGGGTTAAATGGTACAGAATTCCTTGCATTACCGAACAACGATGGTATCGACGAGAACAGCCGATGATTCGACGCGCGTGAAAATACTTTATCGACAAATTCGAACTGGAAACCGGACTCGAAGAGCCCACCGCGAGGTGAAAGCGCGTAACTATTGCGCTCTCCCGGTGTGTCAGTCACGGCCGAGCCGTCGCTCGCGTCGTACGAATATACGTACGAGAAGGAGAACGAGAAGGAGAACGGGACGAGATTCGCGAGAGTACCGTACACGAGATCCTCTCGCTCCGTGGCGCGTTTCGCCTTCGTGTTTTTCGTCCCCGCGTCGTTTGATCGTCGACGCCACGACGCGTTCTCTCCTCTCTCCCTCACCCGTTCGTTTTCCTTTCCCTCGTCCCCGATCTTGTTACTTATAAATCTTTTTATTTCTCGCTAAATAAGTGTTTACGAACGAGACCTCGCTCCGTACCGAGTCGAAATGTCGTGGAAATGAGACAGACCTTGAAAACTTTCCGACGACCGAATACACAAGGTAAGTCGAAATATCTCTTCTTCGATTTGCTTACACTCCCGAAACAGTTCAACCTGGACGAAATTTCTTATGCGAACAACGAATCGAATGATCGAACATTTTTCTGTTCCTTTTTTTCTTTTTTTCCTCGTTTCTGTCAGTTTCAATTTTCGTCGCGGGGCCGAACACGTCTACCGACATCGGAACGTACAAAACGCAACTCGACGAGTTTCGAGTACACATTCCGTGATTATTATTCGATGCGTTGAGCAAAACGATTTCGCTTTCTTCGTTCGCCCGATGCGCCATACCTGTGCTGTTTCACCCGCTACTCTTCCTCTTCCACTTCGACCCTCCCCCTCCCGAATCCTTCGACGAATGTCGAGGAACGCGTGCACGTAGATACATATGTATTCCACAAAACGATTCCCCACGTACCAATCACCGGTACGGAAAATTCACATCCAAGTAAACGCCTTAAATGACCGTGAATAATAATTTCAAGTGGCTGTAAGCCTCGGTAGCGGCTCGATATTGCTCGTTGGTCGCGCGGAGAAAATCGAAGGATGGCCCGTGGAAGAATCGAACGATCGGAGGCGGCTGACAGCGCTGGGAAACACGCGGAGAACGCAAGGTCTCGTTCAGATGAGGGTCATCGACCTGGACGAGGACGAGGACACCCAGGAGACGTCGTGTTACGTTTACGAAGGTTCTGGCAAGATGATAAAAATCGATTAAACGACGTGTCGGTGTTCGGATTCCGTCCGTTCTCTCGCGACGCCATTGTTCCTACCTGTAAAACGAACCGAAAAAAAAAAAGAGAATGAATAAACAGGATTGTTTGCCTAGACTGATACCCACGCGGTTATCGGACAAGATCATTTGTTTTTTTCCCCGCTTCTCCAGCGTATGTATATCCCCAGCACATGACGCCTTGAAGACGCCCATTTTACGGCTATTTTAGGTCTAAGGCGTCTTTAACCACTTGCCATACGATTTCTTTTACGACTTCACTCTCAAGAATTACTTTATCGTTAATATTTTCCCAGATACAAAAGGAATTCTATTTTCATGACAATATTTTACGTCCACTCGAAGAAAACGAATAATATATATGCTTACCGAATTCAGTTTATAATCGTTATCACGTGTCCGAGTCGATGATGTAAGGCAAGGGGTTGTGCTATCTGTGTAAACGTGATGTACACCTGAGAATGAATATATATTATACAATTTTATATAAGACAGTTAACCGTCTAGTATATACATATATAGAAGTATCTGATTCGTCGAGTCGTGTCGGTTCACTGATCGTCAATCGCGAACACGTTTTCCAGACAACGGATCCGACGACAGCACCTACGAGAGTATCCGTTCCTTCCAGCCGGATGACTTCGCCTCGGATTTCGAGTCGGAGTTCGAGTCGGAGTCGGGGTCGGTGTCGGTGTCGGTGTCGGAATGGGAGACGGAGACGATCGACACGAGAGTCCCGAGAGCCGAGCCAAACGGGGAAGACGCGAGGATCACGAACGCGTGTCTAGAAGCTCCGACAAAACCGAATCCTCCGCCACCGCGCGAGGCCAGCTTGACGCAGACGCTGGGCAGAAGGATAAAGATGCTACGGAGGACGTGGAGCATCACCAAAGGAAGCCTAGGCCGTATGAGGAGAAGAACATCGGTCGACGACGAACGTTCTATCGAGGAGGCGAACAAAGAATCCTCGAACTCGCAACATCCACACTTGGACGGCGCGAACGCGAAATATTTTAGCTTCGCAAGGTAAGAGCGTCACTGGACTTTCGACGTTTTACTTGAACGGCGCTCTCGCTAATGGTAGCAACGAACCGACCAGAACCGAGGATGACCATCCGACCAAGGAGCCAGTATATGGGAATACCTACAGAGAACCGGGAAACGGTAAGTTTCCGTTACTGAGAGAGCCTAAAACGTTGTACTTTCACTCTTTTACCCTTCTAAACTCTGTAATATCGTGCCCGATTCCAGATCCGTACAGCATACTCGCCGATCAAGAGCCCCTTTACCAATTTTACGCGGCGGCTGCTGTCCGAGGAGCGATCGACTCCAATTCCGAAGGGTACGAGGAGGTACGTTATACATT